CACTCGTCCCCTTCCATATGGGGGATTGATAAATACTGCCCCTGATTACGACAAACACTTTTATATTGTGGTCTCTTGATCTCCGTGTTGAATTGATTACCACTTTATAGTTGACTGCTTTGCAACCTCAGATTACATTCCGGATAGTTTTAAAGTGCAAATTTAGATTCCCAAGATGTATCATGAGTACAGCACGCCTAGGTTATTAACTATGGAGTACTGTGAAGGTGAACATATTGATGATATCGATTATATGATCAAGAATAATATTGACAGACACGAGGTAGGTTTGACAGCATGAGTTCCTTTTTTTCTGTTCATTGAAATGATTTTGTAGGTATGTCGGAAGCTAGGGAGGATATATTCGGAAATGATATTCTTAAATGGTTATTTGCATTCCGATCCACATCCAGGCAATGTTCTGGTGAACAAGAGGAAAGACGGAAAAGTAGAAATTATTTTGTTGGATCATGGCTTATATCTTGTAAGTTACATTTTCTGAAAGTTGTTTCCAGCTTTTATTACAAATCTACTGCTTTGAGCATAATTAGAATAGCTTTTCCATTTGCATTTCCCATATGATTTCAGGATATTGATGATAAGTTCCGCGGACTCTATTCTGATCTCTGGCTTGCATTACTCAAACCTGACCAAGATAAACTGAGGGTATTTTACCTTCTTTTTTCGTTAATTGTTTTTGTGAATAATCGTATTGTAGAGAGTAGCCACGGAAATGGGTGTTGGCGATCTTTATGGCTTGTTTGCTTGTATGGTAGCTCGAAGATCATGGAAAGCTGTTTCACGGGGAATCAAAAATCAAAAATTGGAAAACTCCGAGGTATGGTGCATTTTGTTACAGTCTTTACGCTGCCATTCAATTACTTCCAAGTTTTTCGTTCTTTATTATAATTTCTTCTGCTTTCTTCTTTTGATGTTTGGCTTTTACCCCAGTCATTCGCGTTTGTACACAGAGCTACTGATCGGTTGCGGGGTATAACGATGCGCAACTTTCGGGTGGACGGTACTATTCCACATTAGTTGACCCAAAACATGAAAATCC